TTATTCTATTCTATTATATAAGGTATTGCCTCAAGTTTGGCCATATGATTATCGGATTCTTTAGGCCCAAGTTTATAAGGCGAAGCTTTCACTTCATGTCTTTCCCCTTTTAATTGTAAGCTTGATTCAAAAGGATGGATAGCTTCAATCGATTCGCCCTTGACTGTATGATAAATCTTTAAAGCGCTTTGAACTGTATTTATATTAACTTTTGGATATTTGATTCCTTCCTTTTTAAGAATATATTTAAGCCATTTAAAGAATTTTACATTTGTTTTATGTTGTATGGTGACTCCACTGGGGAACGAACTTAGAATGTCTGGTTACCATGTTATATATGTACTTATTATTTATACTGTCTATATAAAATATATATATATATACTTATATTCTATACTGGCTATAAGTTCTTTTTAGCTGACTATAGGTTCTTTTTAGCTGACTATAAGTTCTTTTTTGCTGATAACTAGTTTTAATCGAAAAACTAATCTTAAATTCGAAAGTTCCTTTTTTATAAACATTAGTTGTAGGAACCTTTGGAATATTCCAGTTTTGGATTTGCTTCCTATATTATCTATAATAACTTCTTATGTATTATTAATACGTAGGGTATTACTAGAACTAGAGGCAGCTCTATTTGATAATGTTATGATATAAGTTTGCCATTTTAATCTTGGTATTACGCCCGAGTCAATTGGAAACAGTCCCTACACCTTACTGCCCATCTGGCTTGGTGGTCTTTGAGTCACAATGACTTTAGAGATTTTGACAAGATTTTAATGGACAAAATTGTTCAGTTCACCGCTGAATACAATTGGCTCTAATACCAAAGTAGCGAAAGATTGCTTAAATATGTGGCTTCTATTTCAATAGGGTCTTTTTCCCCGTGATCATTTTCAATAATAATCAACGGTATATAAGCTGTCTCAAGAAACGAAGTTCTATTTGTATTTTGATTTTTTGTGCTCAAAGGGGATTGTTGGGGAGATATATCAATCTCCTGAGCCTTCTTTCTTTTTAAAGCTTTCAGAGTAGATGAAGTGCTAGGTTTTTTCTCGAGCTAGAATTATATGAGGCCAGGGTTTTTCTAGGGCTGTTATATTGGGCTTTACCTTGGCTAAGAACTATATCCATTGGTTAATGTTGACCTCTCCTTCCCTCCTTATAAAAATTCTCAAGTGAAAAAGTCAGGAAGATGGTTATGTTTGCCATTAATATGTTCAATATCAAAATCAAATGCGGAAAGAATGCCTTGTCAACGGGCAAATATTTGTTTTGCAATGGGATTTTTTATATCTTTTTCGAGAATATCTTTGGCTGATTTTCAATCAGTTCGAATAAGAAATTTTTTGTTGAGTAAATCAGATTGAAATTTTGTGACACAATGGATTATGGCTAATATTTATTTTTTAACAATAGAATATTTTTGTTGAGCAGGGTTCTAAGCTTTAGAAGTAAAACCTACCAATTATAGAGGAGGGGAGGTCGGACTTCAAAAGATTACAAATCCGCACCGAAGGTAAGATGACCATTCAATAAGCAAAAGTTAAAGTTCTGACAAAAGTAAGATTCTTCTACAGTAATTGGTGGCGATAATGCTCCTTTTTACTGTAGATAATTGACTGATCGGTGCCAATAATACTTCTTTTGTCGGTAGCTGTTTGACTCTTGGACACGTGTCCTGAGTGGGTGGTTTTTGGAGTCGTACCGTCCTTTTGCTTTTACCCTCAATTTAGTGGGGAGAAGGTAATCCCTGCACAGTCATCGCCGTTTAACAGATTATAATATTCTATTTATTAGTCTTTTGATGGAGTAGGCATTTTTACTTCATCTTCTTCTAGGGCCATCATAAGCTGCTTTCTTGCTGGACTTCCCCATCTGTTCGTCGAAAAGGTAAAAGCACGGCTAAAAAATAAACATGGGGGAATGATTCCTTACTCTCTTTATACTCTTGGAGAACTCTCAGCAAAAATTCTTGCTGAAAGTCTTGTGTTATGCACAGATCTAAAGCTGAGAAGACAATTAGAAAAGCAAAGAATGACTGGGAACAAGGAATTAGGAGATTTTTGCGAACAATTCGGGTATAATACTTTGCCCACTTCCAATCTCTCCAGTCTCTTCCGCTACTTTGGTATCAGAGCCAGTTGTATTTAGTGGTGAACTGAACAATTTTGTCCATTAAAATCTTGTCAAAAGTTCAAAAGTCATTGTGACCCAAAGTCCACCAAGCCAGAAGGACAGTAAGGTGTAGGGACTGTTTCCAATTGGCTCAGGTGTAATACCAAGATTAAAATGGCAAACTTATTCAGAACATTATCAAATAGAGCTGCTTCTAGTTCTAATAATACTCTACATGTTAATAATAAAGAAGAAGTTATTATAGATAATATAGAAAAGCAAATCCAAAACTTGAATATTTCAAAGGTTCCTACAATTGATGTTTGTAAAACATGAACTTTTGAATTTAAGAGTAGTTTTTCAATTAAAACTATTGAAGAAACTATTTATGTAATGGAAAACCAAGATAGTTTCCAACTTCTTTCATCCAGAATGATAAAAGAGCATAAACGAAATAATTTAACTATCTTCGTATTGGTCTTTTTCAGATAGCTGTAAAACCTTTAACCAGAACTGGGTTAAATAGTTCGGTTTTACTCTATCTAAGAGATAGCAGACACTGGAGGTTTAACGACTCTCTTTTAGGGATTGTTGAATCTACTCTCTGCAACGGACCGATATACTTTAATTGCTTTCCGAATTTTTCGGTAGAATTATCAGATCCAAATTTGTTAAAAGTTCTAACCCTAAACCTTAAAACCCAAGGTTTTGATATGGATCCTGGATCTCAAAATCTAGCATTCATTTATAGAATCTTCTATAAAGTCTTGAACACTCTGTGTCCAAATGCTAGGGAATAGATACTAAAGGACAAACTATCTTCTTTCAAACAAATATGGATAAACCTAATCTTGTTATACCTAAGGCCGTATCTTGGAAACAGGTAAAATTAGCTGAAAGATGGTCTCTCCAGTCTGAAACCCAGATAACAGTTCCTGAAAACAAGGAATCGGAACAAATTATCAAATATCCCAATGGAGAAATAGAAATACAGTTTCCATCTTCTAGGAGAACTAGGCTAAACATTTCAAATATCGTTTCTAGAATTCCGCCTAGAACTTCAACTTCTTTTATTACTCAAACTGATTATGAAAAAGCTCATAATGACAAGATTGTTCTTGAAGGACTTAGAAGAAATCCAAACCAAAGCCAACACCCATTCTACAAAGTTGATACTCCTAGTTCTTCAGAAACTGAAACCAAAGAACCAACCCTTTTTGAATTTGATTTCGAAATTCTTACACTTCAAAAACCAGATGAGTTTATTATTGATAAGGAAAGGATTAAAAAGGACTTCCTCTCTGATGAGAACAAACAAGTAAGAGATTGGTTTTTTCAAGAATTCAAAGAAGAATTGAGAAATATTTTTCATATAAAGAGTAATAAATTCATGATACAACATAGAACAAATGTAAAATTCTTTAAATGGCTTAAATATATTCTTAAGAAAGAAGGAATCAAACATTCAGAAGTTGATAAATACAGTTCGAAGCGCTTTTCAGACTTATCATACAGTCAAGGGCGAAACAATTGAAGCTATCCATCCTTTTGAATCAAGCTTACAATTAAAAGGGGAAAGACATGAAGTGAAAGCTTCGCCTTATAAACTTGGGCCTAAAGAATTTTATAATCATATGGCCAAACTTGAGGCAATACCTTGTATAGTAGAACAGAATAATTATACAAATCTTTTCTTACAGACCATAGGGAAGCAAACTAATAGAATAGAAAATGTTCTAAATAAAATAAAGCCTCAACAACAAGAGAAGAAGGAGGAAAAGGATAAAGAAGCAGTCTTATTTAAACCACCACCAAGTATAGCGGCATGAAAGTTTAGCCTGCAAAGAATCAAGAAGAAAGAAGATAACAAAGAATTGGTAAAAAGGCTCGACAAATTAAACATAGATGCTAAAGGAGAAACAAGTGGAAATGTACAAGTTCTTCAAGAAAAACAAAATATTACAAATAAAGAAATAGCAGAAATAGAAGAAACTTTTAAACCATGGAGCTTAGATATTAATCGAATTGATTACGGGAGAAAAACTAGGTCTGTAGCCCTTACCAGGATGTATTATCCTAGACAGACTCCTGTAGATCTCCAGATTGAAGAAGACTTGATTATTAGTTCGGTATCCTATTCAAGAAGATTTATAGTAAATTGGAATATAGATGGCATGTCCGAAAACCAAATCCTTGATCTCATGAAACATATGACTATGTATGCCTCTGCTGGTAAAGCAAGTTGGAATAAAAACCATGAGATTGCCAAAGCCATTATATGTGGTTTCACAAGGTGGCTCAGAGGCTGGTGGGATTCCATATGGAAGAAGAAGCTAAAGATCAAAGTTTAAGTGCCACCAAGCAATGAGAAGTCAAAACTGAAATTGGATCAGGACAAGTCCTAGAAAATTTAGTTACTGAGAGAGATGCAGTAAATACTTTAATCTATACCATCACACTTCATTTTGTGGGAAGTTCAACCCTCTTATCAGCTATATCTGAGGATTTACTTTCAAATTTAAGATGTCCAACACTTTCACATTTTAAATGGTATAAAGATGTGTTTTGCTCCAGATTACTTTCTAGGGAGGATAGCAAGTCTGCCTATTGGAAAGAAAATTTATTGCTGGACTTTCCCATCTGTTCTCCAAAAAGATAAAAACACGGCTAAAAAATAAACATGGGGGAATGATTCCTTACTCTCTTTATACTCTTGGAGAATTCTCAGCAGAAATCTTTGCTGAAGGCCTTGCGTTATGCACAGACCTAAAACTGAGAAGACAATTAGAAAAGCAAAGAATGACTGGGAAAAAGGAATTAGGAGATTTTTGCGAACAATTCGGGAATAATACTTTGCCCACTTCCAATCCTACCCATAAACAACAATATAAAGACCCACGTAAAACAAAGTCTAAATATTCCAAAGGAAAGAAAGATACTTTTCCTAAAATGTTTTTACAAGATCACTCTTTCAAACAAAGGTGAAAAAGAAAAATACCAGTTTGCTATAACTGTGGGAAGGTAGGTCATTATAAAAATAAATGCAGAATAAAAAAGAAAATTAATGCTCTTGAAGTTGACCTCGAAATTAAAAAACAATTATTTAAAATTCTGTTAATAAAAGGAGATGACTCAAAAGAATCTACTAACTTCGATAGTGAAATGCTCATTGGAGAAATAAGTGATGAAGAAATAATTTTCACAAGTTCAGACTCTGATTCAGACTCTGATAATGTGCCTGATGACAACTGCCACTGTAATTTCTTGAAGGCCACTATGGATTTGAATGCTTTAAACTTAAATACTCTAACAAAATAAGAAAATTTAATTATAGAATTAATTGACAAGATAAGTGACCCAGAGGAGGAAGCCTTAATACATATCTACAAAAGAAAAATTTCTCTTTCATTTAAAAGAAGAAGTCAGACATAAGGTCATTGATGAAAAGCTAACATTACCCCAAATACAAAATAAAATCAGCAATTTTAAAATAATGCTTGAAAAAGAAATATGTTTTGATATTCCTAAAGCTTTTTGGAGTAGGAAGCAACATATTGTTGAACTTCCTTTTGAACTAGGATTCAATGGATAAAAAATTCCTACAAAAGCAAGACCAATACAAATGAATAGTAGACTTCTAGAAATCTGCAAAATTGAGATACAAGAATTGCTTGATAAAAAACTTATTAGAAAAAGTTTCTCACCCTGGAGTTGTGCAACCTTTTATGTAGAAAAAGCTTTAGAGATTGAAAGAGGAGCCTCTTGGCTAGTTATAAATTACAAACCTTGAAATAAAACTCTGAGATGGATTCGATATCCTATCCCAAACAAAAAGGATCTTCTAGATAGCTTGGTTAATGCTTCTATATTCTCAAAATTTGATTTAAAATTAGGATATTGGCAAATTCAAATGACAGAAAAAGACTGGTATAAAACTGCTTTCAATGTTCCTTTTGGGCATTTTGAATGGAATGTTATGCCTTTTGCTTTAAAAAATGTCCCTTTGGAATTTCAAAACATCATGAGCGATATTTTGAATCCCTACACCAAATTTATCATTGTGTACATTGATGAATTTCTTGTTTATTCTGAAACTATCGACCAACGTTGGAAACATTTAAATATTTTTTTTAAAGCTATAAAAACTGCTAGATCAGTTGTTTCAACTAAAAAGATAAACCTTTTTAAAACCAAAATAAGGTTCCTAGTACATAATATTTTCCTAGGGAGAATTATCCCTATTGATAGGGCAATTCAGTTTGATATCATCAAAGATAAAATTGAACTACAAAGGTTTCTCGGTTGTCTAAATTATATTTCCAGTTTCTATAAATATCTGGCTTTAGATGGAAAACCTTTATTTCAAAGATTAAAAAAGAATCCTCCTAATTTGAGTAATTAACATACAATCGTTGTTAAAAAATTAAAATTGAAGGCTAAAGAATTTCCTTGTTTAGCACTATCTGACCCCACAGCTTTTAATATTGTTGAAACTGACGCCTCTGAGCTAGGGTTATGAAGAATACTTAAACAAAATTCCCAAAAGACGAGCAATTGGTATGTTTTACTTCTAAAGCTTGGAACCCTGCTCAACAAAAATATTCTATTGTTAAAAAAGAAATCTTAGCCATAATCCATTGTGTCACAAACTTTCAAAGTGATTTACTCAACAAAAATTTCTTATTTGAACTGATTGTAAATCAGCCAAAGATATTCTTGAAAAAGATATAAAAAGTCTTGTTGCAAAATAAATATTTGCCCGTTGGCAAGGCATTCTTTCCGCATTTGATTTTGATATTAAACATATTAATGGCCAACATAACCATCTTCTTGACTTTTTGACTCGAGAATTTTCACAGGGAGGGAAGGAGAAGTCAACATCAGCCAATGGATATAATTCTTAGCTAAGGCAAAGCTTTGGCCCAATATAACAGTCCGGGAAAAACCACCTTGGCCCCATATAGTTCTAGCCCGGGAAAAAGCCCGGCATCTTCATCTACTCCAAAAGCTTTAATAAGAAAGCAGGCTCAAGAGATTGATATATTTCCCCAACAATCCCCTTTGAGCACAAAAAGTCAAAATACAGATAGAACTACGTTTTCTTGAGACATCTTATATAACGCTGATTATTATTGAAAATGATCACAGGGAAAAAGACCCTGTTGAAATAGCAGCTATATATTTATGCAATCATCTGCGTCCTAATATGGGGGATAAATGCAGAGAATGGTATGAGACCATACTTATGGAAATTGGGTCGGTATCAATAGTACACCATTATAGAAATAATGACTTGGAAATAGCATATTCCAAGTTCCAAATTCATAAAATCATCTCTTATAGAGATTGGGGTTTGAATCCTTTAAAACCAAGGATAATAAATACTAAAATATTTAAAAATAAATCCGACCATTACTTTGAATACATCAAGGCATGGGATGAGGTTTTTGCCTACCAAAATACTAAGGCTACACATAGTTGGTATGTACAGTTTAAAAGAACTGAATCAATAGAGTTTCCCAACTGGTTTAAAAGCTGGTTCCTGTTATGGGGATCATGTAGCCAGATACTTCTCCAAAAGTTACAAATTTCACAGAGAAAATTCTCTGATTGTAATGCAAGTAGTCTAAAAAGGGACTATCATTTATATTTTATGGCTTTATATCAGGTCCCTTGGATATTAATATGGACATACCAACTCTCTGAGGATGGTATGGACCGATGGGATTATATCCTAGAGTTACGTCGAAAGATATCAATTAAATGGTGCGATAGTTACAAAAATGATTCTCTGGACCCTGACAAAATTTACATGAAAACAATACCATCCTCGTCACCAACTTCTGATATGGGTGTTTTCCGAATATATTACATTATGCAACATTAAAACCGTACACTATCAAAAGCTGAGCTCAGAAAGTAGCTACTGTTGGCCCTAGATTAAGACGAAGAAATAGAAGACTATAGTCTGTTAAATGTTGATGACTGTGTATGGATTACTTTCTCCCCACTAATTGAGGGTAAAAGCAAGGGACGGTACGACTCCAAAAACCCACTCAGGACACATGTCCCAAAATCAAACTACCATCGACAAAAGAAGCACTATTGGCACCAAGCAATCAATCATCTACAGTAAAAAGGAGCATTATCGCCACCAATCACTGTAGAGGAATCTTGTTTTTGTCAGAACTTTAACTTTTGCTTTATTGAAAGGGCATCTTACTTTCAGTGCAGATTTTGTTATCCTTTGAAGTCCGATCTCCCCTCCTCTATATAAGGAGGTGAGACCCAAAGGGAAAGGCATTTGGAGATGAATCTTGGGAGTTTTCTGTCTTAGTTTTCTGCCTTTAGTTTTGGATGTTTAATTCTGAGTGTTTGGTTTTGAGTGATTTGTTCTAAGTGTGAGCTACTTGTCTTCTGTTTCGAGTCTTCTGAAGAAGAGGAACCACACTAGTAGTATACTGTCTCTTCGAGTCTATGTAAGTGCCTAACCTTGTTGAATATTAAGTAATTGTTCTCTGTGCTTGCTATCTTAGTTCTCTGTGCTTTTATCTTACGTGCGTTCTATCCTTTCTATCTTATGTACTTTCTATCGTAATAAATTCTTATTATTAGTCTCTTCCGCTACTTTGATATCCAGAAGTTGATATACATACAGTTCAAAGCGCTTTTCAGACTTATCATACAGTCAAGGGCGAAACGATTGAAGCTATCCATCCTCCTGAATCAAGCTTACAATTAAAAGGGGAAAAACGTGAAGTGAAAGCTTCGGCTTATAAACTTGGCCCTAAAGAATCTGATAATCATATGGTCAAACTAGAGGCAATACCTCATATAATAGAACATAATAATTATACAAATCTCTTCCGACAGACTATAGGGAAGCAAACTAATAGAATAGAAAATGTTCTAAATAAAATAAAGCCTCAACAACAAGAGAAGAAGGAGGAAAAGGATAAAGAAACAGTCTTTATTTAAACCACCACCAAGTATAGTGGCAGGAAAGTTTAGCCTGCAAGGAATCAAGAAGAAAGAAGATAACAAAGAATTGGTGGATGACTTGGTAAAAAGGCTCGAAAAATTAAATATAGATGCTAAAGGAGAAACAAATAGGAATTTACAAGTTCTTCAAGAAAACCGAAATATTACAATAAAGAAATAGCAGGAATAGAAGAAGCTCTTAAACCAGAGAGTTTAGATATTAATCGAATTGATTACGGGAGAAAAACTAGGTTTATAGCCCCTACCAGGATGTATTATCCTAGACCGACGTCTGTAGATCTCCAGATTGAAGAAGACCTGATTACTAGTTCGGTATCCTATTCAGGAAGATCTATAGTACATTGGAATATAGATGTCATGCCTGAAAACCAAATCCTTGATCTCATGAAACATATGACCACCGCTTGTAAAGCAAGTGGGAATAAAGATCATGAGATTGCCAAAGCCATTATATGTGGTTTCACAGGATGGCTAAAAGGCTGGTGGGATTTCCATATGGAAGAAGAAGCTAAAGATCAAATTTTAAATGCCACCAAGCAATGGGAAGTCAAAACTTAAATTGGACAAGTCCTAGAAAATTTAGTCACTGAGGGAGATGCAGTAAATACTTTAATCAATACGATCACACTTCACTTTGTGGGAAGTACAACCCTCTTATCAACTAGATCCAAGGATTTACTTTCAAATTTAAGATGTCCAACTCTTTCACATTTTAAATGGTATAAAGATGTGTTTTACTCCCGATTACTTTCTAGGGAGGATAGTAAGTTTGACCATTGGAAAAAAAAATTTATTGCTGGACGTCCCTATCTGTTCACCGAAAAGATAAAAACACGGCTAAAAAATAAACATGGGGGAATGATTCCTTACTCTCTTTATACTCTTGGAGAACTCTCAGCAGAAATCTGTGTTGAAGGTCTTGCGTTATGCACTGACCTAAAACTGAGAAGACAATTAGAAAAGCAAAGAATGATTGGGAAAAAGGAATTAGGAGATTTTTGCGAACAATTCGGGTATAATTCTTTGCCCACTTCCAATCCTACCCATAAACAAAAATATAAAGACTCGCATAAAACAAAGTCTAAATATTCAAAAGGAAAGAAAATTTTGATAACCAAGTACATAAGATAAGAGTAGTCTATAAATGGTGGGATATATATAGTCTGTATAGACTATTTAATTAACTATCCCACCATATAAAGTATATTTAGACTTATATACCAAGTCCACTGGGGAACGAACTCTCATCTTATGTATAGACTTTGGATAATTTGAGTAACTAAATTGGGATATTCGATTTGTTTCCAGACTTTTGGATACCATATTTTATATATATATATTTTAATTTGAGGAGGTTGCATGTTGATTTGTGTACAACAAGGGAGGTAGAAAGAAACTAGATGGGAATTTAGACGAAGGGGGGTGAGTACTGTGCTCAACCGGCAACAGTTCCCCGAGATATCCTGTTAAGGGCTGTGACTTACTGGCCATCTCAGTTAGATCAGCTATCGAAAAAGTCAACAACACTTGACAGTGTCCCTAACTGATATCTTGTTCACAGTAAAGAGAGAACTTTGATATCCTGAATTTCGTCCGGGAACAGGGTTGGTCGAGTTCACTGAAGAACTATTAGAGCGCGAAGGCTCTACTGGGCTTGGTTACCCAATTTTCTTTCCACAAAGCAAACACAACTTTACTTCCATCTCATTCATTGCAAGGGGTTACATATTTATAGCAAAAAAAAGCAAAAAACAGCCTAGAATATCACACCATTGTTTACAAAACAATGGGTGAAATGTAATACCACTCTAAAAAAGCAAACACCACCCAGTACATCCACTCACTACTCATTATTACATCCACTGAAAGCAAAACCATTTTGGAAAAGTAAAACAACTTACAATGAGTTAAACCACTAAATGAAAACCATGAGCTGTTGCTATAATGTCACAATTTCTTCTATGACAAAAGCATTCTAAAATGCTTCTTCGAGCTGTTCGATTGTCTCTATCAAAGACCATTCTTCTTGGATTTCTGATTTTTCAAATAATGCTCTGATTTGTCTCGGAGCTTTTGGTGGGCATGGTGCTGCAAGATGATCTTCTTGTGTGCATGCAAAACAAGGTCATCTGGAGTTTGATTTATCCCCATGTTTCTTTTGTAAAATTTGTGAGGCTTAAAACTTCTAATTCTATGGATTTTCTGAATTTGTGGATGTTATACTCCTTTGCTCCTTCTATGGTATTACATATCTTGGATCTGTCTTTTATATATGTGATGATGTCATACTTATAGCATGACTTTTTGATTTCTCCTCTTGCACATCCCACAACATTAGGCATTGCCGGGTTTTGTACTGCTATATTTTTCATAGAAGGTGTTTCAAGAACAAGTTCTTGAATATTACCTTGAAAGAATGCAAGATAATATGCATGGCATATTGCAATGTTATGTAGCCCCAACCTGCAAGATTCATTGCTGTAGCTTTTCGAATATTCTTGAAAATCATCAATATTTTGAAGTTTTCTTTCCCCTAGTAAAATTGTTTGTAGCATACTGTATTGGCGATTCAGAGACATATTCAGAGAGTAATTTGGATCCCAATTCAGTAAATGCTGCTGCAACAATGACATTTTGTCTAGCATCATGAAAATGATTCCGCAAGCTCTTCCCTGCAGAAATTCTATTGCATATTTTATGTCATCTGAGTTTGGCCATCTCCTTATGCTAGCTACATTTATTCCTTTATGTATCTAAGAAATGATCTCTTGCTTTGTTTTTGAAAGAGAATAATGAGTTATCATATCAATATGCATAATCAAATATCTTCTTATATGTTTCTAGGACCATATTGCTCAACATTAGCTATTCGCATCACTTTCATTTGAGAAACAGAGGAAGATTCTTCCATGGTTTCAGGGTTTTGGAGCAATGAAGGAAATATTAGGAGGCTTGAATTTGAAAGCTTTTGCAACTTCATCCGCCTTTTTCTTTTTGTAGCTTTGTTTATTTTCAAATATTTGCAGATTATTCTCTTGGATTTGTAGAATTTTTTCTTTTCCTCTACTCTTTTATCAACCAATATTTCTAAATTCTTTTTTATTTCTTGAATCTGAAATTCTATGGCTTATATATGCTTTTCAGCATATGAGGTCCAATGGATTAAATAGATCAACTAGTGTACCTCATCTTTATGAACTTGTTCAGAGTTGATGGTATGTACTAAGAGGTAGCTAGCATCTACCCTTGATTTAGGACCTTCCGAATTTTTTAATTGCTCAGGAGTAGCTGTAGAATAGGCCATTTAAGGGGGCCAATCTCCAATGATTAATGGCTAGCTGGATTCCTTTTTTATGGTAGTCACCACATAACTTTGAGCAATTTGTGCAGCTTCCCTGTTAGATGAATTTGAGATCTCTGATAGGTGGAACAATATTTACTATTGGGAAAATAGGGGGTAAAGTATTTTTTTGGCTTGTTTGAAGAAGAGATTTATTCACAGGTTTGAGGGTAATGGTGGAGTATCTCATTGGTGTTCTGTATATATAGGCTTTTCTTTTGGGAAATAGTTTGAAATCTGGCCTTTTCTTTTGAAACTTATGGGATTCCAGTTATTTAGAAATTGCAGGGAAACCAGTTAAGAAACTTTTAGAATCTATACAGGGACCAACTTCAGACACAAAATTTGAAATTTTTGGAACTTCGATGCCATAATCTAATTTTGAACAAGTAATTGCTGAGCTGGTTAGATTGAAAATACATTTAGATGCTATGATAGCATATACACTTCTTGGTGGTAAATCTATTCCTTTGACTTTTGTACACACCATGAATGCTTCAATAATAAACTCATCATTAAGATTCAAAGAAAAATTTGGAAAGACTGTGCAAATATTATCTTTGTCTAGACATCCTTTAAACTGACATGATAGGGCTTTTTCCCATTTGAAATGTTTAATGTCCAAAAGAGAAACTAAATATTCTGCTCTTAAATCATAATTGAGATTAGGATGAACAAGAATATTTGTTTGTTTAATATGGACATATGGATACTTCTTATGCTTCCACCTTTCAATATTTGACTTTTCAAAAAGGGTAAAAATACTAGACATATTCATTTACTTTTCACATGGAGATTTACTTCTTACTGGCGAATTGACCTAGAAAATCTAGACTTGGTCAAAGAAAGATTATACAAATCTTGCTTCTTGACTTCAGGAAAATTGACATTGCCTAGACTATTCAAGACACCTTCTTGTTTAAAACAAAAGAATGTAATGAGACTGAGGAAGCCGACCTGGTAAAGGACTTAGGATTTTGCGGGTTCATGGGCCGACTATCTGATGAAGAGGCTGAAGAATGTCTGGCTCTTAACATCTTCATCTGAGAAATGGGATGATCTGAGAATTTGGGAGGCTCATATTGACCAGAGTTTATTTTAAAATTAGCTGGACTAAGACAAAGTATATGAAATGCAAGTTTAATAATAATAGGAGTAGAGATGAGGAAGTAGTTAACATTGATTGCCAGGAAGTTCAAAAAAGACCGCACTTTCGATACCGTGGGTATATAATTCAGGAAAATGGAAAGATTGAGTTGAGGAAGATGTCGCACACAGAATTAGAGCTAGGTGGGTGAAGTGAAGATGTTCAACTGGAATTTTATGTGATCGCCGCATACTAATGAAGCTGAAGGGCAAATTCTATGGGACAGTTGTGAGACCAGCTTTGCTTTATGGTGCGGAATGCTAGGCGGACAAAAAACAATATATCCATAAAATGAGTATAGTGGAGATGAGGATGTTGAGATGGGTGAGTGGCAAGACAAGAAGGGATAGAATTCGAAATGTATCCATTTGGGGGAATTTAGTTGTGGTACCAATAGGAGATAAGATGAGAGAGAGTAGACTCAAGCAGATTGGCCATGTGTGGCGCCAACCAAGTATGAGACCTTTTAGGAGGTGTGAGTTAGTTCAAGTGGAAGGACTGAAAAGGGCAAGGGGTAGGCCCAAAAGGATGTGGTTGGAAGTAGTCCGAAAAGATATGAGAACTTATGGCCTCACTGAGGGTATGGCCTTAAATAAAGCAGAATGGCGGACCAAGATTCGTGTAGTCGACCCTAATTAATTGGAAAAAGGCTATCATGATGATGATGATATTGACTAGAGTCTTCTTCTTTTAGGAGGCCATTTACCCATTGTGAAACTGAGGTTTCTTCATCTATTTCTTGGGAAATTGAAATATTGACTAGAATAAGAATCTTCATCAACCAACTTATGTTTTTCTTCCATAATTTTTGCATACTCCTCAAGTCCTGGAGGGTACTTAGAATATGAATTAGAGCATGATACCTTTCTAGTGGTAGAGGAAGAAAATGATGATTTTTCATCAAGCTTCATATTTTCAGCCGGTAATTTTTTGCAAATGGTTTTGAACATTGGTCAGTACCAAGGTTCAAAGTTCCTTTCTTCTTCGATATATATTGAAATTTAGAAGTATTCTTCCCTGGTGAACAATTTCATCTCTATTGGAAAGAGAGCTCCTTCCCATTCGATTTTTCCTAGCATAGCTTCTTAAAAATCATCTTCCTTAAGAGAATTATCTAGTTGTAGATATTTAAAGGAATAGTGATTTTCTCTTTTATTAGCAGTTACAAAAATAGTGAATTTGTTTGGCTTGCTTTCATCATATAAGTCTTCTTGAATAAATAGTTCAGTGCCATACATATATAGTGCCATTTTAAGAAAAAGTATTTTCTTGTTCGACCACGATTTGATGCCAGAGAGAATAGAGAACGAAAGAGGGTGCCAAAGGATAGAATCTATGTACTCTTATACCATAAAGGTTCACAAAGAGGGGTTCAAAGGCCTTGATAGGCTTTAGAACCACAATTAGAACCATAGTTTCCAAGTGCTAATGGTAATAAGACATAGAAGAGAGAGAGAGCAATGGATTGGATAATCCTTACTTGAAATCAATTTTTATTACATGTTTCAAAATAGTAACCCCCTTTTTCAAAATCATCCATTTTGAGAAAAATGAAATATTATTATCAGAAAACTCAGCTAATTATTATTATTATTAATTATTATTTTTATTTTTTATTTTTTTGTTTTTGCAAACGGCCATTAGGATATGGCCAAACTCGTATTCTTTGTGAACCTTGGTTCCCCAAAAATATCAGAAAAATATTTTATTTTTCCACCATGCTTTCCAGTGAGATAGCAGAGAAAGAAATAGGGTTCCAAAGGATAAAACCTATGGGTTCTGATACCAGAAAGAGGGAGAGGGGTACAGAGGGGTTCACAAGGCCTTGATAGAACCACGGTTAGAGAGAGAGTAGAGATGAACTGATAAGATGGAGTAGAGAAACTCATCATCATACTCTTTTTTTTTTGTCTGAGGGGGTTACCTTTTGATTTATGAAGCTAGTATGTACTCATTAGTGGCTTGATTCTTATTTCTATTGTAATTTGAGCATTACAGGTACATTAAAAGTACGCCTTTCTAATTGAAGAGGATTTCCAGTATTTTGTGTTACTGTGTTTTCTTAAAATATTGATAGATATTCAGTATAGTGCTTTATTCATTATTCACAATCGAATTTTCAATTTTTACCATACCGATTGGAAGATATTTTATTGTGGTTTTTATGCGAGTACACTAAGAATACAACTTAGTAACTCAAAAATATTTTGAACTGGCTGTATAGTGGGGGTGTGTTCACCAAGGGCCCAATTGCATCTCGGAATTGTACCGGGCTGGGGGTGATAAACCCTTCGAAGAAAGCGAGCTCCTCTCGTGTATCAAAAGATCCCAGACATCTGTGTCACTCTGTGTAACTTCTGAGATCCAATTTCTATGGGAATTCGATTGGTACTAGGAACGTTGTAATTGCCATATATAACCTCCGAAACCTGTTCTAATTCCTTCGGGAATTTGATTGGTACTAGGAGTGTTTTGGTATTTTTCTTCTGACACTAACCTCGAATAAGAGGAGGTTCTGTCGAATTTCCCGGAATAGGGTGACGCTGAAAACTGTAAAACCTTAACATCTATTACCCTAGAAATAATATCTCTTGTCTCTCTCTCTCTCTCTACCTTCTTTGGGGAAGGAAAATCTCTCATCTCTCTCGGCAACTTTGCTGGTAGAAAAGAATAATTACCCTCAGAGTCACTTTGTGAGAGATAACAGCTAGGAATGCAAATATAGAGCTGATCATAAAGTTATCGATCATCTCTAGGTCACTTCCTACGTTTACGTGCTCCCTCTCTCTACTCCTCTCTCATTGTTTGTTCTCTATGTTCGTCTTTACTTTCCTTTGCCCCTGTCCTCTCTCTCTCTCTCTTTGCAACTTTGTTGGGAAAGAGAAGGGTAATCACCGTGGGGTTAGAATCAATTGAATTGTTATCCATCCCCGCTTTCTCTATCTCTCATCCATTGTTATGTTCCTATATCTTTTTTTTTGACAAAGCTAACTTTAATTTATTTATTCAAAAAGGTGATCGTTAAAAAAACAATCAAGTTATGTAAATACAAAGCTATTTAAAGAGAAGCATCTTACACCATTTGCATTTTACCCCTTTCTTAAATCACCCCAAGCCTCTTTTCATTCCCTACCCCAACATAAACATCTCACTCCTATTTATGTTTTACCCATCTTTCCAAAACCACCCCCATGACCTTTTATTCCTTAACCACTATTAATCAAAACCAGTTCTTGTGCCTCGGCACCAGCTATCAGCAATAGCATTATTTTCTCAATATGCATCTATCCATAATTTCTTCCCATAACTACATTAGCAACCAAGGAACTTACATGTCCTTACACCACTTAATAACATTCATCAAATCACCCTCTGTAATCCATCGAGCACCAAATTCTTCTACAACAATTATCCCTTGCAACAATGATTTCATTTCAGCTTCATTGGCCGTTTCCATACCAGCTAATCCACAGTACTTCTTTAGGATCACCCCATTCTGATGCTGTAGTACTCCAATGGCCCCTCTACCCAGGTCCCCAAAGGAGCTAACATCAAAATTCAACATAACATACCCTTCCTTCGATACCTCCCAAACTGTAAATCTTCAAACCTTATGGGAGCTTCTCAAGACTAACTCTCACACCTTATACATGAGATCCACTCTTGCTGTCCCCCAAAATTCTTTCCTAATAGGGAACCATTCGGCAATTATCCTTCTACTTTTTACCGCTAAAATTTCCCTTTCCATTCCCATCCCCTTAAAACACCACCTGTTTCTCTTTTTGCAAACTTTCCACACCACCACACCCTTTATAACTTTTCACAGAATTGTCCTTCCATCTTTAACATTTGGTAGATCCTGTTGAGTAAAAATCTCACTTGCATGATTTACCATACACACATCAATATCAAACTTAACTTTCACTCGATCCCGTATATATCTTGTGTATCCACGATGAACAAACAAATGATTGAAGTTCTCTTTATGCTACTTTCATAAAATACTTTACGATACATCATTAGGTTCTCCTTTCTCTCTCTCTATCTTTATCGATGTGAGTTTCTTTGCAGAAAGTGCACACAATACATATATCAACTATTTTTTCTCATTCATAGGTTCCCCTATGTAGAAACCGACCCTCTCTCACCTCTATTAGTTCATATGTCGTATATTCTATTGGCTTTCTATAATCATAGACAGACATACTTTCTCTCTCGAAATCTCCCTTTCTAAAAGCCCTCTCATTCTTTGTTTCTACCTCATGTTTCTTCTTACGAAGGACTAATGCATAATTATATACTTGTGTTAGCAGGGTTTAATGGCATCGGCGGTATCGGGAAAAAAAAATTATCGGTACGTTGAAAATCTAGTGTTGTATCAATTCAACTTAAAATAGTTTTGCTAATGTGGAGCTTCATGTTATATTGGTATTGCTAACTTGATTGCTGCAAATTGATAGGTATGTTGAAAATCTAGTGTTGTATCAATTCAACTTAAAATTGTTTTACTAATGTGGAGCTTCATTTTATACTGGAAATGCTAACTTGATTGTTGCTATAAAAAACATGTTCACAAATATTTACAAAACTACTACGAGAGAAAATAAGGCTGTGTAACAAAGTTTTAGGGTCTATGCCTGCATTCAAATGCTATCCATTAGATAAGATATCAATCATATAAAATGCTCTCCATCAGTGCATATTTTGCAAGATTTTGTCAGCATGAGATAGTATCATATAAAAATATGTAATATAGAAATTATAATTGGAATAGAAATTTTGGAATTCTAAACAAAATTCAAAGGAATATATGGATAGAAAAACATGAATGGACATATTAAGGAGAGATATAAGAGAGAGTCACTTATGGATAGCTTTACATAATCCGAATAGTAAATATGAAATTACAGTGTGAAGGGAAACTAAAAGTTTTGTTCATTTTAAAAAAATAAAATAAGATAAAATTTCAAAGAAAATTTTATTCCTATAAAACGAACTATACTGGTTTTACTAGGAGGCACTCTTAAATACCAAGGATAGACATTAGGGTTTTCTAATGTAATACATAATTAGTCTGTAATATGATATATGCTTAGGCATAGACTAATTCCTTTAATGTTTAAAACAGATAAGAAAATGTCCTCTTTTTATCTTGAACTTATTAGCATGACAGCACGTAATTTGAATCAAATAGTCTTCAGCATATAAAATCCTATTCCTAAAATAGAAAAAAGAAGACCCACATGAATTATAAGGAAGGGAACTTTCCATCTCTTTGTCCTTAAGTTGATTTTATCTCAAGTTCTACTCATGCCGTTATATACTAGGTATGTTTTTCTCTTGTCTTTTGGGATGCTAATTTGTGAAATGTTTTTTAAGATTTGTTCTGATGACTAGGTTATGGTTCTTTATTCATTGATTATGTAGCATTTTATGTTTCCATTTATTTATTTTTTCTTTATGTTTAACTAGCGAGAAAGGTTTATGCGCAGAACTGAGAAATAGAGCGGTCTATGAGGAGATGCATTATTGTAAATGTTGATGTGATACATTCATTGCAACAATTTAGCATTTTAGAAGAATTTTCAAATAACTGCATGTTTGTGCCCAATTTTCGTGTATGCATGTGTGTGAAAATATATAGAAGTGATTCCAAAATGCAAGTAAGCAAATGCACAAGAAATTAGAATGTTGGTTGTTTTGATAATCGAGCTAAAATGCGAGTTGAGCACATTCAACTGCATAACCACTCTAGCTGTAGCTGTCGCCAAATTGGTCTCTCCCATCTCAACTAGGCCAATCAGCTAATCAAGTCCAAGCCTAATTCTTAAACAAAAGCAAGGAAATGCTTATGGGGAAACTTACTATACTTCACCTACAATATAGTTAAATTATACTCCCCCCTTTTTACCCATCCATTTCAAATTGCCGGCTACAATTAGTTGAAAGAAAATCTCACAAAAAAGGTGGTTGGGGCTCAGCCGGTTGACCAATGCTAACAGTAAAATAGAGAGGGGGCACAAAGGAGGGAAACACAAGACAAAGGCAACTTTCTGGATCACCAAAACTAGGTGAGAGAGAGAGATGTGTTGAGAGGGAGAGAGAGAGAAAAGAGGAGTGCGTGGGATGAGTTTCAGAGAAACATGAGGAGGGTGTGTGAACCAAAAAAGGAGTCGTTCTCTACCTTCAAACTCGATTTGAGCAATGAAAGCAGGTATTATTTATGGCTATCTCTTCATCGATCTATATCTCTGCCCGCAATTTTTCTTTATTTTGCATTTGGTATCTTTATCTTTGTAGCATTGATATTTAGGGAAAATTACGTAAATATCCGTTATAGTTTCTATTATTATGAAAATACCAAATACTTTATGTTATTACTAGAATGGCTGTTTTTTTCCACTTCATAACGATTTTTTTTTTCAAAAGACGGTTTACCCTTTTTCGGTTTTTGAAGAACTGGAATGGCTGAAATTTCGGTTTTTCAAAAACTGAAATATGCCTCATTTCTGTTATTCAAAAACTAAAAATGGCCTCGACAGTTTAAACACTTACGTTCTCTTCACTGCGTCCCATGCTCTGTGCCCTGTGTATGTGAGTCTCAAAGCTACTCCTCTGTGCCTCTCAAAAAAGCAGTATCTCACTAAAAACCTAACCCTAACTTTGTATTAGATTAGAAGCTTAGGTATCATTACAAGGCTTTGACGACATTTCTCAAATTTTGAAGGCTGCAGATTTCTGATATATAGTAAAGGAATGTATGTATACAATGATTTGTGGGTCGATTTTATAAATTTGGATTGCATAAGATTTTGATTTAGGGTTTATACTCAAGCACACTAGTTCATTCTCATTAATTTGGGTTAATTTCAGTTAATTTGTGGGTCGATATTGTTTTTATAAGATTTTAGAAATTAGGGGTTTTTATGAACTAGAAATTTGGGGGTTTTTTTAGAACTAAAAATTTATACACGAGGTTGCATTGAGTTAATTATTATTTTTAGTGTCTGTGAGGAAATTTTGTGTATGTGAGGAAATTTACAGAATTGTGATTGATCATGTCTGAGAGGTAACACATTTGCATATATTGTTGACGTGTTGCTTTGTTTTGAATGCTGGGCAATTTTTTCATTATAGTGTATTGTGTGTTAACATTGATAGTCGTAGATAGTTTTAAGTACAAATTTGTGATAGATATAGGGCCTGTTTGATAACAGGAAGTGTCTTCCTGGAAGTGAGAACTTATTATTACTGTTCAAGTTTCGTGTTTGATAAAAAAATGGAACTTCAAGTGGGAACTTCACAGGACTGTTCATCTTCCTATCTCGCGTGTAAAAAAAGTTCCGACCCAAAGGTTGGAACTTAAAATAGGAACTTAGTTTAGGACTTCACCCCTCAAAACTTGCTTCATTTTAGAACTTCAGCCCTCGATAACCCTAGCCCTTTTCGTTCCCATCTTCGCCGCTGAGTACCCCTCTCTTTGCAGCACGACCCCTCTCCTCTGTTCTTCGAGTTCAACCGCTGAGGCAGCCCTCTGTTCGCAGCACGCCACTATCTCAGCCAGACCCTCTCTTCGCATGCAGCCCTCGCTAGGGTTTACTCAGCTGTCCTTGAGCTCTGATCCTTGCTATTGATCTTGAGGTATGCTAATGACTTTATTCTCTCTGTGTTATTGATCTTTGTGTTTGTTATTGATCTCTGTGTTTGTTCTTGAGCTTTGAGTTCTGTGTTATTGTCCTTGCTATTGATCTCTGTGTTTATTCTCTCTCTAAGAACCCCAGTTCTCTCCTGTAAAAACCCTTTTTTTCCCCCTAGTTTGTTCATTTTTTTTTTCATTTTCTGGGTTTTTTTTGGGTATCTATAGATCACAGAGAGAGTCACTCTCTCTGTGTTTCTTATTCTTCGCGTTCAGGCTGTTTAATGATAGAATTAGGGTTTCGATCGATCTCCTTTTAGCTGGTAGATTTCTGATCTACTCCAGGGTTCAGTGTTGAGTTGTGCTTGTTGTTTCTTCGGTTTATGATGCTCATTTTCAGTGAAGTCTCTGCTAATGGTGATTGTAACGAGTATATATTACCTTGTTTTGTATCTAAAGTACATTTTGTGGGTTTTTTTGTGTTTTTTGAAGTTTTGGTTAAATTCCGTCTTTTTTTGCTGGGTCTTTTACCATTTTCAGACCGTTGTTTTATCACATTCGGAGTTTATGGCGACTTTAGTGCATAGATCTTGACCATTTAAATGATATTAGGGCTTATTTGGTTGTTTAATGCAGTTATCACAGGGATTGTTGGGGTTTCGTGGGGCATTTTCACTTAATGGTAACTGTTCTTAGTGGATCATGCTCTGGTTTGGATCTTATGATGGACCTTTAGGGTTCACTTTTGGGTTCTTTGAAGTATGTTTCTTTAGTTTTAAAGTGAGATCAAAATTTTGATTTTTTTTTTTGCCTTTTTAGTTTCTAGTTTCTTCTTGGGTATTGTTCAGTTTTTTTTAATGGAGTTATTTCATTGATAATGATCATAGCAATTGGATGATACACTAGAATAGGTGTTAAGAGTGGAATTAAGAAATTTACTTGACGAAGTCAATTTGGCTTGGGTGGTCATGGCCAAGTATGGATCTTATATGTTAATTTTTTTAGGCACATGGAATCTTATAAAACCTTGTAGGATCATATACCAAGTCGACTCAGCTTGATACCAAGCGTTGACTCATGTAAAGAAGAAATGCATGAATTACCAACATTTTCATTTTCTTCACTCAATGGTTTCATTTGTTCCAAGTATTTACTGAAAGTGCTTTGTTATTTTTTTTTTGAAATTGCTTTGATATACAGCTATGATGTGGCTTCATGAAATCTGATATATTTTTTCTATGATACATAGCTATGACGTGGGTTATGACGTGGGTTTGTTTATATCTTTTTATGCAAAGAAGAAATGCATGAATTACCAACCTATTCATTTTCTTCACTCAATGGTTCATTTGTTCCAAGTATTTATTGAAATTGCTTTGCAATGGATGTGTGGTGTTCAATAGGATTGACCCATACACATCATCAAGCGCAGTGAATGAGAATATGGGAGGCAAGAGAAACTTCCAATGGACACAGTCCGAAGATGATTACTTTATTGAACTAATGGAGAAGGAGACTAGGGCAACTGGGCAGGGGGGGTTTAGAAAAGGTGCCTGGAAACGTATGGTAGACGCCATGACAATTAAATATGGGTCAAGAAACAACGAAACTAAGCTGAAAAGCAAACATAAGTTCCTTAGGAATATGTTCAATGATATCACAAAACTTAAAAATGTTTCCGGTTTCGGATGGGATGATAGTAACTGCCGAGGTTGCTGTTTGGAATGACTTCCGAGCGGTATGTGATTACTCATTTGTATAGACTTTTAAAATGTTGCCTATGTTTCAATATGAATATCACTAAAAATAATTTATGGTCTTCTATATGCAGGAGAATGAATGGGCAAGCAAATACCAAAACAAGACTTTGCTCGAGCATTCGCTGCTAAGCAAAATGTACGAGGGTGGAACGGCATATGGGATGTACAAATCTATTGAGCGTGGCATCAAAATTGAGTCAGAAAGGCCCAATATTGCATTATCTGATGACCCCCCATTAGAAGTCCAGAATGAATCTAGCTCATCCTCATCTGATGAGTTAGTATCATCTGGATAAAAAAGACGACGGTCCCATACTCCGATAAGAGCACATCGCCGATCAAAGCAACCCACCCCCATTGAGTCCATGTCTTTAGCCATGATAGAGATGGCCCAAAGCATTAAGATGCTGACATGTGACACCGTAGGTAACAACAATACTCCTGTGGTGGATGGTCTGTTCAAGGTTAGTAGAGATGCCTGTAAAATTGTTGAAGGCATGTGGAAAGCAGGCGATGGTGATGCTGTCCTTTTGACGGCGGCGAGGATCTTCTAAGATTCTACAAAGGTGGTGATGTTATTAAACTTGGAGGATCCAAGGATACAAAAGGCTTTCTTAGATGAAGAGATGAAACACCTCCAATAGAGTTCGGATTGACTATGTTTAATTTTAACATCAAAGACTGCTTCTTTCATTTGTATGTGAATGGCTTATGTCATTTTAATGTCAAATATTGCTTCATGGTTTGCTTTATAGATGATGACTTCTTTCATTTGTATGATGGTTTGCTTTATGGATGATGAAAGAGATGGCTTCTTTCATTTGTATGTGAATGACTTCTTTCATTTTAATGTCAAAGATTGCTTCATGACTTGCTTTATGGATGATGGTTTCTTTCATTTGTATGATGGTTTGCTTTATGGATGATGAAAGAGATGGCTTCTTTCATTTGTATGTGGATGGCTTCTTTCATTTTAATGTCAAATATTGGTTCATGGTTTGCTTTATTGTTGTGGATGGCTTCTTTCATTTGTAGTTATGGATCACCGACGGCGTCGGATGGTGATAATATTATGTGCTGCATATACAGCGTGTTGCATTGCATATTGGTATATTACTACCCAAATGAGGAGTGGGCATGTTCATACTTCAATTTTTACTGGGGCCAATTATGTCCAATACTTGCTGTCAAGTGCTTTGACAAGTTACTCATGGAGAAAAGTGCTTTTATCAGTTTATGTAATTTGTTAAAGGAGAGGACAAACATTACAGATACAAGATATTTGGCAATTGATGAACAAGTAGCTATATTTTTAAGCACTGTCATACACGATCAGCAGATAGGGTGGTCAAGGAATGGTTCCAACATTCAGGGCAAACCATAAGTTACTTCTCTAATAGACTTTAAAAGCGATCTTAGAATCGGAACCCTTGCTCCTGCAACCACCAAGCAATGAAACACCTGCCCACATTGCTAGTGATACACTACGTTTTTACCCATATTGTCCTTCTCACATCCACATGTTAGTCTGCGAGATGCAATGGCGACGCAGTTGTGGGAGTCTTACCTAAGTCGTTGGAAGTTATTTGGCCCAATTATTATGTTGAAATAACACAATATATCTTTTTATTGCGAAGTATATTTGTATTAAACTGGTCTTTTATTGATTTTCAATTATATATGCTTAAACTATTACAAGTTATTGTTTAACTGTTGTGTTCATTCAATTGCATTTTCAATTATGTATGTTTAAACTATTAAAGGTTATTGTTGAACATCAGTGGTGAATGTAAGTAGTGCTCAAGTTATTACAGGTGATTGTTGAATGGACTGATTTCTTATTGCGTGCATTGTGCATGTGTGTTTGAATAGGCTGATTTCTTAGTGCTTGCACTTCAATTATGTATGTTTAATTATTACAGGTTATTGTTGAATGGGCTGGTTTTGTACATGTTTAACTATGGATGCATGAATTGTGAATGTTTCTTGACATGCATCACAAATGCTTTAATAGATAACATATAAATGTTGTGTGCCATTATAATATTCGATAGAGAGAGAGAGAACACAAATGTTTTAAGGGACAAACAACAATGTTGGTTTATTGTTGAATGACGTATATCTTTTAAGCTGGGATATAGATGCATCAGTGGTGAATGTAAGTAGTGTTCAAGTTATTACAGGTGATTGTTGAATGAGCTGATTTCTTACTGCTTGCATTGTACATATGTGTTTGAATGGGCTGATTTATTACTGCTTGCATTGTACATGTGTTTGAATGGGCTGATTTCTTACTGTTTGTATTTTCAATTATGTATGTTTAAACTATTACAGGTTATTGTTGAATGACGTATATTTTTGAATTGTGAATGACGTATATTTTTTAGGTTGGGATATAGATGCATCAGTGGTGAATATAAGTAGTGCTCAAGTTATTACAAAAAAATAATATTGTACTTTACTTTCAACTGATATTGTATTCCAAAAAATAATATTTTACAAATTAATAAAAAATACATCTTGCTTATTACTTAAGCTAATCCAATGTAGATAACCCAGTTCTTTAATTTCTCAGGAGGTTATCAAACACATAAACCAGGAATATCTTAACTTCTCAGGAGGTTATCAAACATAGAAACCGGGAACTTCTTAATTTCTCAGGGATGTTATCAAACACAGAAGCCAAGAACTTCTTCAGGAACTACTAATTTATAATTCTTGCTTTCAGTTTACAAACAGGCCCATAGTGATATCTCAAGAAAGGCTTGGTTTTAGGTATACATAGGAAATAAATAACTTTATGCGTTAATATTTTGGATAGAATAATTCGTGACTAGATTTATTTGAGAGCTCATTCGATATGTAAATTTGTGATCACTTATTTGGAGGCTTCATCTGTGACTTAGTATTGTTTCATTGATTTTATATGCAAATGCGTGATGAGTTATTGGTATTTCGATATTCATTCCTTTGTATTATCATGTTCTTTTTATAAAGTAGTGCTTGTTATTGTAATGATTAATGGTAAAGAGAGGAAAATGATGATAAGCCAAGTATGAGACTTGTATTAGAACCTATAGGTCGAGTTGAAGAGCTCCATAGCACTAGGTTATGGTCTAAAATTGACCATATTTTCTGTTTAATAATAGCATGTTATTATTGTTTATGGGTTATTCAATTTAGTTTTGCATATGTGACCTTATGATGAACATGGTGACTATATGAATCGTGTCCATCCAACTGGGGGATATCCAAGAGGTCCTCAGGACACTAGTTTGTTATGATTGCATCCAGAACATTTATCTTATTTCATTTGGGAAGGGCAAGTATATACATATATTCATATGCTCTTTCCATTAGTTTGTTATTTTTCAATAAATTGTAGTATGTTTAAACATTATATGGGAAGTGCATATATATATATATATATATTGTGACCCATATGTTGTCTATTTGTTGTATTTCAGGAAAAATAAGAAATAAGAATCAATGAAAAACACTTCAATTAAACGATTGGCATCTAACCAATGAGCAAATTCAATTAGTGAACGCATATGGGTTAGGTGCTTTATCTATTATTCATCCAAGTCGAATAGATCATCCCTTGGTCATAACCAATGTAGAGAAGTGACGTTCTGGGATCAATTCTTTTCATTATAATATTCAAATTGGTGAGATGACACCTACATTATTTGATGCTTACGAGATATTGGGACTAGCAGTGGATGGTGACCCTGTTACATGTTGTCAAATTAGTGGCTTTCGAGAGTTTATAAAAAACTATTTGGGTATAGTCCCCCTTGGAGGCAACTTGGCAGTCATCAAGCACTCCCAATTAGTGACATTCAAGAGTTTATGGAAAACTATTTGGGTATAGTTTCCCCTGGAGTCCACTTGGCAGTCATCAAGCACTCATGGTTGAAGGCCAATTTTCACACATTGTCACCTGATGCAACCCTTGTGTAAGTTCTTAGATATACCCGAGCCTATATATTTTTCCTCATCAGCGTTACCATTTTTCAAATCCATTGCAAGCAAATGTACCAACGAGGTATTTACAATTATTTGAGGATATTGAGGAAGCCGGTAGATATGCTTGGGTGCTAAAGCCTTCGCATATCTATTTCGTTTCTTTGGAAATGTTTGTTCTTTCAAGTGAAGACATTTTAGTGGTTCAACCACTTTTATGCAGGTAAATTATATTTTCGTATCTGACAAAAGCATAATAGTTTAGGCTACTTTCCAAAAATAATTATTGCTTATCACATCTTGATATAATGCATTGCTGGTCTTTTGAGCATATTATGCATATGAGCATATTATGCATATGAGGCCCATACCACATAGTATATCTCCAAATATGCCTAGGCAAAAAGATGGGAGCCACCAAAGAATTATTATGGCAATCCATATAATATGATGCCTCTCATTAGACAAGAATTTGATAACCTCCAACCTAATGAGGTTAGTGTGTATTTTGATATGACAAGATTTATTATGGATTAATTGTTTTTAAGAATTTATAGTTGTTTGTTGACTAATTGTCGTGTATGTGATTTCATATCATATGATACATAATATGAAATCCCTGTTTTAAGCCTAATAATGCCATTTCAGAGGGTAGGCGACATGAATTCGAAACTGCAATGTGCATAACTGCACTACAATGTGCATAACTGCCATGATATTGGACGATATTGTCGAGCCATATATGCCGGATCGTGTGTGCCAACAATGTGGAGCTAAATGGGAAATCCTATATATGTTGGTAAGATGACTAATAGACAAGGTGGGCAGCGAGATTGGAGAAATGTAAATTTTGACAAAATCCATCATTGGTTGACTCGACATGAGCGCATGATGCCAGGCATTGATGTGGATACTGTTAATGTGTTGTCTTCAGAGGAGTACAAGGCCTAGTGCAGCCCAATGACCCATCCCATCTTATTTTCCATAATGTTGCTAACCCACCAAAAGACATAATGCAACCTGTTAATCAAGAAGAAGAAGATGTGACTCCTGCACATGAACCACAATATATAATGAGACATCGAGGTTATGAGGTCCAGCTGGTATGTTTATATTGTCTTAAAAATTATTTTAATTTTATACTTTACCTATTAGTTCCATGAAATTGTTTTAATATTATATTTACTTATCTTGCTTTTGCATGTTAGTGCAGTTCAGACAAGTACAGTCATGTTAATAGAGGCACTTGCACTTAGACATAAGTGGTATCCTGAAGTTTATAATGATGTTAATGCTGTGTTTGAAATGCTATTTAAGGTTATGCCTGTGGACGAGGATGAAATAGAAGTCATGATGAAACATTTACAACGTCAAGTAAATGAAAAAGCTGCACATGACGAGTTCAAAAGTGGTGTAGTGGGTGAAAGTAGTCGTGCTGCAAAAGACCTAGCTCCATCCACACAACCTACGATTGAGGAGCCTAGAAGGCATAATACCTGAAAGAAGTAGTATCAGTTCAAGAGAAGGCGATGACTCCTAATTTTGAGTGTATTGAGTGTTTTGTACAGTTTTGTACTTTCAAGCATTTGTAATGTTATTATATTGTAATGAAGTCCCGAGCAGCTAATGTAATGGTCTTTTTGACAATATTTGAGTGTTTGAGTTTTAGTATATACATTTAAAGTTTTTTATTTGTTTAATTACGCATTTATTTGAAAAGTTAATGTAATGGTTTTTTTTTCTTGGATTTGCTATTGGAAATGCCCTCAAGATTTAAAGGTTAATGGTTTATAGTAAAATGCACTTGAT